TTTATTCTATCTTTCTTTAAGAAATGAGTTTTTAGTTTTCGGCAATCAGGCATTTTTCATATCGATAAAGCAGGAAATGGCTAATTATGTATCACTCTCTATGTATGTAAAATACTTCTAAAACTGTGATATTTGAGAATGTCAAGAATTTATCTTATATAAATTAATATGTATAGATATATGTGCATGCAGCTTTAAACATACTTATCTATCTATCTATCTATCTATCTATCTATCTATCTATCTATCTATCTCTGTATATATATATATATATATATATATATATATATATATATATAAATAATTAGAAACCTAAACATTCCTTTGTTAAATGATTTCATTCAAAATCTGCGCATTTAAGAGTAAAAAAGGATCAATCTGCGCAGATATAAGCCAGCGGCAGCCATTGTATGAAATGTTTCGAATTTTAGACTCACAAATTAATAGACACGTTGCGAATTTTAAGCAGTTAAAAAAATCGCAAGGCTGATTAAACGCAGAATGATACTTTTTTTTGAAAAATAAGCTCAAGCAACAGCGGAAATAGAAAACAATCGACGGGTACCATCGAATTCTTGAGAATTTCCCTAAGGTTCTGAACGACTACGATGCGAGTGTGAGAAAGGCAATTTATCGACTTTCTCCTGCCGATCCGTGTCCTGTATCAAGAATGAAGTAAAAAAAAAAATTGAAATCTCCGACATACTGATGAGTTACCAAAACGAAGAACGCATTTGTATGAGTGCCGGCAATATTTTTATGCGCAGATTTTGTTAAATCAATTAATACCAAGCAAGGTGATAATGCCGCTTAGGCTCCAGCGAATCAAAGAGAATTAAATCATTTTAGAAGGAACAGTTAACCAAATCCTATGCATGGAACGAGAGGTAAACCGCTATTCTTGTTCAAAATAACACGGGGGTGGGGGGTGTTAAGCGGCCGATAAGCAAACCTATCTACTTTACAAAGCGGAGGTGATGTGATTTGTTTTTAATGGGATTCTCCTTCTATCTGCCGTGTCCATTCAGGACGTTAGTGATCATGTCTATCCCCAACTTTCCGTCCTTTGCATCTCTTTATAACTTTTCTTATTCTCACTCCTAAATCTGTCCCCTGAGTATCACAATTTCCAAGTCTTCTTTCCTCATTATTTGCCCTAGAAAATTCAGTTCTCTTCCTGATGTGAAGTATAAGTGTCCTTTTTGTTTCCAATTTCTATAAAAATTCATCGTTGCTCACATGTTTGGATCATGGTATGCAAATCATTTGTCTTGCTTCACGTCTCTTCTTCATTTGCGAGGAGATTGTCCAGCATTTACTGCCGTATAGGACGACTGATATTACCAGTTTAGTACTTTTTTTCTTTGTTTTTAACAATTATTTGTTCTCTTTCTGTTGAGATGTTGTGAGTTTCCCGCGTGTCGGTGTATGAATCAAGACAAACACAGTTGTAGAGGAAAATACTGGTATATTTGTAAAAGCAATTAACAGTAGAGTGATTAGTAGAACGAAGGTTGGTTAGTACGAAACAATATCCAAAGTCTATAGTCCAACAGTATGTAAACGGGTAAGCTTATCTGGACTACTGTCGCTGACGCTCCCCTGTCCTCTCTCGAGAGCTGACTCATATAAGAGGGACCAGTCCATTTCTAGTTAGAAGATGGGTGCACCCCAACACTTTCTTAATACTGTGCTTAGCTTTTGGAAAGCATATTTCGCTATCCCAAGTATACCTTCGGATTTCAGTGTCACACTTTCCACCCTAGATTAAACTTCTTCCTGATATTTGAATTGTTGTACTTGATTGATTTTGGTATTCACAAATTGTAATTTGCAATTTTTGCTGGCAACCATAGATTCTGTATTCTTACAATTGGTAGTTAGACCTTTCTTCTCCCTTTTCTTCACCAGCTTCGTAGGACATCTTGTAATTTCTTTCTCTGTATGCGTCATCTGCATATCTTACCTTTTCAAATTGGAGTAGACAGTACTGAATCCTGACATCATTTCTAATTCTCTCATTGTATATGTTAACTAAGTCTGGCGAGAAGACACACCCTTGTCTTATATCGTTTTCCTTTTTATATTCCCTGAAGCATAAAAATGGGAGTTCCAACATCAATTTATATGTTTTGATGCTAAATGTGGGGACATGGTTATAAATGAAACAAAGATTTTTCCGATATATTTTTTTTATTCACGGAAATGTCCCATCAAACTCGGCAAAGGAAAGTCATGAATACTTAATAGAATGTGTCCTCAAAAGTCAGGATGGAAGAAATGATTGGGTTGTTTGATTTTAACCAGCTTCAAGGCTTGATATTTATTCTGAAGGTCAGCAGTTTATAGGCAGCTATTAGCTTTCGACCATGATTTTCATTTGGTATCTGTGATAGAATTCGTTTGAAAACAACGCCCAGTGTCAGACTAAACGGAAAAATAGAACTCAAATATTGGACTGATATAAAGTCCAAAAGCTCAGAGCCACTGTTCTAAAACATGGCGGCTTTATGCTAATGTGTTGAATATATAATGTAGGCCAAAAAAAAAAAATCACTTAGGAAGCGGAAAGAAAAGAAAATGATGGTGTAACACCAACATTTACTCTTCAAAATAAAGTCCATCTTCCTTGACGATCTTCTGCCAGCGATCATTCAGAATCCGAATCTGTCCGGTATTGGTTAAATAATTTAGACATGTCATGTCGATTAGTTTTCCTTCCTAATTCACGGATTAATTTCTTGATAGCCTTAGAAAATTGATTAAGAAAAATACCAAAATTTTCTTTCAAATAGTTTTTATTTTCCCAAAGTACTTTCAATCTTGTCTGAGTCCATCTTCAGGGATTAAGTTAATCCGCAGAAGTAATTATATATATATATATATATATATATATATATATATATATATATATATATATATATTGAACAATAAAAAATATTAAAAAATTAAAATCTTCAGATACACTGGGTTGTATAATATTCTTTCGCTTTTTATTATTATTTCATTTAGATTCCTCGACTAGTTTCGGCCAACATGGCCATCATCAGGAGAAAAAAATTCTATTTGCTGGTAGTAGTGAACTAAAAAACATATATATATATATATATATATATATATATATATATATATATATATATATATATATATATACTGCTTCAAACAGTTTTGGTTAAATAATGTAGACATTTCATGTCGATTAGTTTTCCTTTCTAGTTCACGAATTAATTTCTTGATAGCCTTAGAAAATTGATTAAGAAAAATACCAAAATTTTCTTTCAAATATTTTTTATTTTCCCAATTATATTCAATCTTGTATGAGACCATCTTCAGGGAGTTGTTAATCCGCAAACTGGAAATGATTATAACGAAAACTAATCTACAAGACATGTCTAAATTATTTAACCAAACCTGTTTGAATGATAATATGCTTCCTAAATATACACTATATATATACACACACACACACACACACACACATATATATATATATATATATATATATATATGTGTGTGTGTGTGTGTGTGTGTGTGTGTGTGTGTTTGATACAGTCCTTCGGCTTTGAATAATAAAAAAAAACCTGTAACAAACTCCCTTCATTTGATCAAAAGTGTTGAATCGCTGGTCGCGGAGGAAGTGTGACATTGAGCAGAATATGCCATAGTCACTCGGAACAGCATCGAGACTGAATAGTGGATGTGGAAGAACCTTAACACTGTCCATCTGTTTGAACTTCTTAATCAACTTGGCAGTGTGTGGACTGGTGTTGTCTTGCTGAAATAAAACCCGACCGCGATTGACCAAAAGCTGTATATTCCTTATTTAGTTTGTCGTACACGCGTTCTAACTGCTGGAAATACAGTTTAGCCCGACCGTGTGGAACAATCTTTAAATATAGAATTTTCACCAGACAGAGATCAAGATTCGTCGTTTTCTTTCTGTCTACGAAGTGAGTCAGGATTTCTGGGCAGTCCACGAGTTCGCGACCAAGTAGTTTATAGTTATCAACGAAGTTTCCTCAATGTTTGTGGCGTGCAACAGTAAAAGCTCACTGCAAAACAAGTAAACCTTCTTTTCCAACGTACAGTAGGACATCATAATATTACACACGCTTCTATCCCTTGTAGCTATAAGCAATATTTTCCTTTGCCAAACATCTCATTCCCCTTTCTTTCATCCATTCACACAATCTCGTTAACCGCAGCATTCCACTGTCTGTTTTGCCTCCGATAACTTATATGAGTTTCAGATTGTCCAAGCTCTACTTCCTTGTACGACCATGACATTTTTGCCGTCCTTTTCTGATTCTGAGTATAAATATTTATTTTTTGCTCATTTTTACTTATGACCACCACATTTTCCTTCTCTCATTTCTTCCTCGGGTTTATTTTGCTTAACAGAAACCGATGCAAATGTTTGCCTTAAAAGAAATGGGCGCTTCAACCTAGTCAAATGTTTAGCAAGCTTAGCTCGCTAGATTCAATTACGACTGAGTAATGATCTCGATCCTCACTGGGTGCAACCTACTTTCTGTATTGTGCTATATCTCGAAGCTATGTTTAGAAAATAACCTAAAAAACGGAGTTGCATAAATCAAACAGAGAAAACACAATAAAGATTTGCACTTTTTAAATCATTTCACCCCGAGCAAGGCAATAAAGCCACTAACACGCAAGTGTTTATTAAGTGTTAGAGAATATGAGAAAAAAACTATTATTAAAAAGAGATACAGTAAAAGAACAAAAATTAAGAAGACAGAAGATAACGATTGTAAATGTTTGATGATCAAAGTCGATCGGCAAGCAAGTAGCCGAAAAAACTTCCACAAGATAGAAATGCGACAGAGGAAACTATTAGCATAGAACTAACAGCTACATCTAGACATTTCAACTCTAAAATCATGGGACCTTGCTGCCAATCTAGTACTGCGCTTAAATTCATAAAGTCTAAGTACCATGGAGGAAAGTTTAACAGAACGATTACCATGAAAGTATTTATAGAAAAGGCGGTGGGAAATGCGATGAAGCCGAGATACCAGGTCAGAATCAATAAGATTGCAAATTGAAGATTCTTTTTTTGCATTTTATCAATAATCTCGTCCAATATATATAATCTATTGCTTAATTACAGTGTTATATTTATTAATGTCTAGCTAACAAAGCCTAGCGTATTTTTGGCCGCAGTTTTCATATATAAAGGGCTTCCAGAATTTTAAGTTTTTGATTATTTTCTTGATGAAGTACTGATGTATTTTGTTTTACTAATATCTATCTAAACTGTTAATGTGGACGTGAGTATTCCTTTAAATATTCTAAGATTGAACTACGATCGTTCAAGTTCAAGATAAGCCTTCTTGTCATCGTCGGTGTTGTAAAACCATATATGTTAACATTTCTATCAGATATTCAATCTCTCACAAGACATTTAAATTGATATACGATGTTGGTCTTTTGTAATATGCTAGTTGACAGAGAAGAGATGTTATGAATGACTAACCAATGATGCTTGAATGAAAATATATTCCATATATATATATATATATATATATATATATGTGTGTGTGTGTGTGTGTGTGTGTGTGTGTGTGTGTGTGTGTGTGTGTGTGTGTGTGTGTGCATATATACCAAGTATAGGATAGGTGTATACTGAATAAATTCCAATAACCAAAAATAACTATTCTTAAAAAGTGTGCTCAATACAGAGTAGATAATATAATTATTCATTTAAAAATTCTAACATAAATATGTTATAAAATCACTACAATAATAGCCATTTTTGTTTCCAACACCTCTGCTGAAATAAAATGGCTATTATTGTAGTGAATAACAATGTTAGAATTTTAAATATATATATATATATATATATATATATATATATATATATATGTATGTCTTCAGGTGTATCGCGCATATCTATACGCCTTATTTTTATGTAGATTTTTCTTTATTTCTTAAATATGACTGAGTTTAAAATCTTTTACATAAATACACCATTTACATTATTATGCACAGTTATAAACCTTAATATTCACTTTATCGAACGTGTTTGATTATATATAGATAACATTCATGAATTAGTTTCCATCTCCCACGCCATTTTTTCCGATCATCGGAAATAATTTCCCTTTCATCATGCTTCTCGATTTCTCCGTCTTTTTTCTCTCTATATATCTTCCTTCGTTCATCCTTCTCGATATATATATATTTATATCTGCCTGTATGATTCCTTCCCCTCTCGCTAACTCTCTCTCACTCTTTCTCTCTTTATCTCACGCTGGCGCTCTGTGTATATTAGTATGTATATAGCTGAATGCACATCGTATGCTATATCAAAGGCATTTTTAAAATTCTCAAATATCGTAGGCTTTAGAACAGAGGTCGGAAGCCTTTTGGAAAGAGCAGGCCAGACAAGTATGCAGTGTCTCGGAGGAGTGCCATGATATCAAATTTACTATAATAAATTGCCTCGACCTCAGAACACCCCGCCTATAAGGCCGCCTTAGTCTGAAGTTTTAAAGAAGAAATAATGAAGTTAATATTTTCTTATTTAAACAAGTTTCCTTACTTTACTGCAGGAATAACAGACTAACAACTAACACAATAAAAAAAAAAATCAAATTATTTACTACGCTTAATTTGACGGGCTGGACAAAAATCTTTTGCAAGGTTTCAGACCCTTGCTTTAGAGTATTTCATATCAATACAAAGGTTTACGCTATTAGCCACTACCTGTTTTATTGATACAGAAAATACATGGTTACTAAAATCTAAGCATTTATTCGTTAAATGATTTCAACCAAAGGCTACATGACGTTGAAACAACGATTCTTTCAAAGTTAAGCAACATCGAATCTGGTCACTAACTAGATGGGTGACCGCTTGGGTATACCAGATGCAGTAATCTTTGTAATGTTGTGTTTGTTATATTCACTTACGGGCAAATACACTTGGGAAAAGGTATGAATTCACATTCCTCGCTTCAGCTCTAAATTAATTGTAAGGCTTGTATCACTAAATCATTAATATAGCTCATAAGAGTTTCACCACTATAATATTATTAACTAAAAAATGTGTTACAAACTAAAAATATTTGATGGCGTTGAATAAACTTCAAAGGGGTGATAATCCGTAGAAAACAAATCAATCAAATCATACCTTTCTTGGTCTGTTCGTTATCTATCTATCTAGCTAGCTTCTTTATCAATTCTTCTTCTGCCTCTTCTTATTGTTTGTCTCCCATTCAACCCACATTACATTTCTCGTTTTATATCTATCTATCTATCCTTGTCTAATAATATCTATCTATCGATCTTCCCATGTATTTCTATCTATCTATCTATCTATCTATCTATCTATCTATCTATCTATCTATGTCTAATAATATCTATCTATTCCCATCTATCTATCTATCTATCTATCTATCTATCTATCTATCATTGTCTAATAATATCTATCTATTCCTATCTATCTATCTATCTATCTATCTATCTATCTTCTTAATCTAATCCTCCTCCTCTTTTCTTCTTCTTCCTGTTCTTCTTTCTCTTGTTGTTGTTGTTGTTCTTCTTCTTCTTCTTCTTCTATCATTATTATTATTATTATTATTATTAATAATAATAGTCTCTCTCCCACTATACTGGTATTGCTTTCTTCGTTTGATATCTATCTATCTATCTATCTATCTATCTATCTATCTATCTATGTCTAATAATATCTATCTATTCCCATCTATCTATCTATCTATCTATCTATCTATCTATCTATCTATCATTGTCTAATAATATCTATCTATTCCTATCTATCTATCTATCTATCTATCTATCTATCTATCTATCTATCTTCTTAATCTAATCCTCCTCCTCTTTTCTTCTTCTTCCTGTTCTTCTTTCTCTTGTTGTTGTTGTTGTTCTTCTTCTTCTTCTATCATTATTATTATTATTATTATTAATAATAATAATAGTCTCTCTCCCACTATACTGGTATTGCTTTCTTCGTTTGATATCTATCTATCTATCTATCTATCTATCTATCTATCTATCTGTCTATCTATCTACATAGATGGCTAGATAGATAGATAGATAGATAGATAGATAGATAGATAGATCCAGAGATTAAAGTTTTATTTATTTTTTGTTTATATTAATTCCGTTCGTATTAGTACTCTTATCTAACTGACACATGAAATCAAATCGAACAGAGAATTTATTAGAAGTATTACTTATTATATGTGATTATAATTATAAATGTGGTTTGTCTATCTGTGGGTTTCAGTCTTAAAGAACAAAAACAAAACAAAAGCAACTACGCATTTATGAGAGAAACAGTGCCGAGATCTGCGCAGATGAAATGGCAGCCATTTGTACGATTTTCTTGATTTTGCTTTCTTTTATTTTATTTCTGTGTTCATCTGCTTGTTTTTTGTTTTTTTTTTCCGGAAATAGGCAAAACTTCTAGAAATGCACAAAGATCAATGTAAAGAGGAATTCTAGAGATAAAACGAAATGAGGAGGACATTGATCGGTGGCAAAGGACGAAATGCATACAAGGGATGATGTGACAAAAAAGGAGATGGCCCGTAAAAACATGAATAAAGGATCAAAACGAAATCAAACGGTCAGGAGAATGGAGCTTAATGGATGGCAAATTAGTGAGACGTGGGTAGTATGATGTACAGGATGTTTTCGATAGCACGCTTTAATAGTAATATGGTGTAGTCATAATCATCGTAGTGACATTTGCGGTAGGTAATTGGCCTACAATGAATTTTCAGTGACTGTTTTGGGAGCATTTGTTAAATCATTTCAACTGAACTAAGGAAATAAAGCCACTAAAAGGGAAGGGCTTACTGTATGTGAAAAAGAATATGATAGAAAAGAAAAAAATATTAAAAAGAGAGGACCTTAAAAAATGAATTCAGAAGACAAAAGTTAACGATTGAGATATACATTTAAATGTTTATAAAGTTGAATGTAAAACAAGAAGCAAGTTCAACAAGCCAGAAATGCCTGAGAAGAAACTAATACGTCTAGCCATTTCAACATTAAAATATTTAGACCTTGTCACCAATCTTGTGATACACTTAAATTCTAGGAAACAAAGAGAAAAAAAATACCAGGAAGATAAATAACAGGAAGACTATGTCATGTCAATAGGAAAGAGATTGAATCCGAGGTTCCCAGTTAGGACTGCTTAAATTGCATATTCTTATTTTATATTTTATCAACAATTTCTAATTATATAGTACTTGCAACCTGTATATAATAAATATATATCTTAAAACATGTTTTGTGGAAAATAGATTTCTCAATTCCTTTCTTTTCATTTTTTATAGAGGTTTCTGTGGAATGAGAACTTATGGCACCAATATGCAATGCAGAGACGAATGGCAGATTTAAAAATATTAAAAACAGATTCTGGAGAGAAAAAATTTGTTAGCAAGACACAGTGAACCAATTTTCAGAGTTAGCAATTCATTTAATATAATAACTCCACTTTATGTCAGTGGGAAACGAGAGACTACAAAGGTGCATTAGGCTCCACATGTGGAAGTTAGCATCAGCCATGATGGTAGGCAAAAAAGCTTACATAGATGGACAATAATTTTTATGTAATTCGTTATAGATACTTTCAGTAATAAGTGCTGCAATTGGCCTAGAGACGCGAAATCCACATTGCGAGGTGAGATGCTTAACCAATTCAGCGATGATTAGAGGCTCTAGTAATTGGCCAAAAAGAGGTAGAAGGATAGTAGTCCGATAGTTAGAAGGATCTGAAGGATCCTTAAATACTTTTATTATAGAAGAGCATTGACAAGTAGAAAAGCAACAAAGAGCAATGCATTTATTGTAGAGTTTCGAGAGAACAGGAGCCAGTTCAGAGGCAAATTTACGAAGGTCTGTTTCGGGGATACGTTCAGATCCATGCGTTTTGTGGGGATTTAGTTTACAGATGATAGCAGAAAGCATGGACGGACTTATATGCATATCACTCAATAGAGCGTGGAAAGTCAGGCGAAAGATATTCCATATGTGTCAAGAATAGAATTGGAAAAGAAGTTACGAGCAAAGCATTCTTCTTTCTCGGACGATGAGCGAAAGGAGGAGGGATAGAAGACTTAATATCATTATCATGCACTTACAGAACCGCCAGTTGTCATTAGAACCGAACTTGTAAAAATCTATACGGTGCCTCATTCTGTCAGCAAACAACGACCAAGACACTTTGACAAGAGGTTTACAATGATTACGATCAAATATAAAGAAGCATTTTGTGTTTTCACTTGGTACTTCCGAGAAAGTAGAAAAGCACCGATGGAAGCTTTTCAGGCCTTCAACATGATTTTTTTTGTCTGTCTATATTTCTGAGATGAGGTATTATGTAAATTATTTACATTATTCGGACTATTGTCCACATATTTGTCGCCATATTTATTACAACGTTTCGGCACTTCAGTATCTGTCTATATTTCTGAGATGAGGTATTTCCCTCAGAAAAATCTCCACTGCCTTAACCGAGTATTGAACTCACACTCCTTGGGTCCTCAAGGACACATGACACAGTGGATAAAGGCGTTGGTTAGATCCAGTGACAGGACCCAAGGAGTATGAGTTCAATACCCGGTTAAGGCAGTGGAGAACATGGAGAGGGGGATTAACAGGAGATAACTGATAACTGACATCTATTAAACATGGCACGTGAAACTAGAACAGTCTACCCCAGTGAGCGAAATAAAGGGTTCAGTTCGACGTTCCAACCACCTGAAGAAGGCTAGAGCGTACAACGACCGAAACGCTGTGATAAATATGGCGACAAAGATGAGGACAATAGTCCGAATAATGTAAATAATGATTATTTTTTTTTTATGTGACACATCAGTCCCGCCAGTAACTTGTATATAAGTCCACATATTGTGCGTCAGTGAGGATATCGGGACATAGCATCAGAAACATTTTTTGACGCCTTTCGCTGTCGTCTTTTCTCTCTTCGCCGGCCAATACGACTCATTTGAGAATTACTGATACAACTATAAAACAAATATATCCTTTTATTTTTATCCAGGACAACTCCCTCAAAGATGGAATGGGGCACCTTGACAGCTGAGAGATTATTCTTTAGCTTGTTTTTATACCTGATCCACAGCGGATCAATATTCTTTTGTCCACTGTCAAGCTGGCTATGCATGAGGACCGTTGGTATTCTGTCGTCACTCATCCTTTCAAAATGACCAGCCCAGTGTTGCATTTTGCGCGAAGATTGACATAGGACACCGTATCGTCAAAAGTCTAACCACAAATCACGCGGAGACAACTTTTATAGAAGACACCCAGCTTAATAATATGGAATCTATAAAGGGTTTACGATTCTGAGCAATACAAGCGTATCGTCAATAGGGCCGCTATAGGAAGGGGCCAGTTTAAAAGAAGTGGCTGCTGCTGCTGCTAATGCAAAGCTCTTCTACTCGAATCGAGCTCTCCTACTTACTGACGTCTTTCGCATATTGAAAACGTTAAAACGTCTAGCCACTGATGAGCTGCGATACAGCGAAACAGTTTGTCTGTGGATGCATATATATATATATATATATATATATATATATATATATATATATATTGGTTGGATAGATGTGAGTTTGTGACCTGGGTTTGTCTGACGCTCGCTAAAGCGTGAAACCCAGGGTCACAAACTCACATCTATCCAACCAAATATGTTAGCTCTATCTCTGATATTGAGCGCTTTCTAATAAGTACCATATATAATATATAAATAATTATACATATATATATATATATATTTATTTATATTTATAGACACTTTTCACACACACACACACACACACACACACACACACACACATATATATATATATATATATATATATATATATATATATATATATATATATCAACACTGTCTCATCTGTATATCTAAAGGACTTTCAACTGCAGCAACAAGTAAAATGGTTAGCACATGTAACTAAAAAAGAAACATATATACTGAAGATGTTCTCATTCCACAGAACTTCAAGTAAAATTTTAGTATGGAAACCTCTATAAAAAATGAAAAGAAAGGAATTGAGAAATCTATTTTCCACAAAACATGTTTTAAGATAAATATTTATTATATACAGGTTGCAATGGATAAATTGTTGTTTAAATTATGCAAAAGTGAAAATAATACTGCCATCTCATTTTAACAAATATGTTCCCCAAAATTACACAAAAATAGCTTGAAATACTAAGGAGTAAAATCATTCGATAAAATCGCCATTGTCTTCAACCACATCCGCCAGACAAATTCGTAATCTTCTGAAACTTTTCTCTGTAGTGTCTTTCTTTAAGTTGGTGAGTGCTTCCATAATCCTTGCTTTCACTTCATCTTTGGTGTTATAAGGATTTTTTTTTGTTTCTCGCTCAACTGCACACAACACATAATGATCAAAGGAATTGCAATCTGGGAAGTTGGGTGGCCGGATATAAGCGGTGATGTTGTCGCATTAATTG